AGTGTGAACTGGTCAAGGCTCTCTCTTCTGCCCACCACTTCAGGGTGGCAGGAAATAGATAGCTTTTGTGAGAAAGCAGAATTTGCTAGGTGGCAAACAAATGGTGGGTATGACTTTTTCTTTCTTTCTTTTTTTTTCATATTATGTATTTGGTACAAGGTCTCACTACACAGCTCAGACTCATACTGATTCTCCTATTTTCAGCCTCCCCAGGCTGGGATATGCCCAAACTCATTCACAGACTCAGCACACCCCAGGGGTGGGGCTGTCATAGCATGCAGGACCAGGGATTGAACCCTGGTCCCTGCACTTGTGAAAGCGGGAGCTTAGTCTGCTGAGCTATCTTGCCGGCCCTGGTGGGTGCTACTCTCACTCCTTTAATGAAGATACTCCCTGCCAAGTCTTTGGCTGTCAGCCCCAGCAGAGCTGAGACAGGGAAGGACCCAGACTGAGGCCTCCCTTGCACTGCCCACCTCCGAGGCCGGTCCTTGTGCCTCAGCACTGGCTGTGATCAGCTGTGTGCCCGATGCTGTCTGAGGCTTGGGGGAGACAGAAAGACAGGGCCTGTGCTATGGGGAAGCACGGTACCCGATACTCCTTTAGAAGGTGTCATACAGGGAGAAAATTCATGTACCCTCTAGGAGTGAAAACAGGAAATGTGCGACATTTGCATTGAGGGGGTGGATCTGTACCGAGATACAGTGATGAGCTATTTTAGGACTGCAGATATAATTGCTCTTCATTCTCATGGAAATAATTGGCCTCTGGAGGGTTGAGATCTATTGTTTCTCCTCAGCTCTGCAGTCTGACCAGCTGAGGCAACTGCTAAGGCAGTATGAGCGTGCAGGCCACAGAGTAATAAACTTGCCCTTCTGAAGGCTGCCACGGAGCACCTAACACAGCTGTCCTCTCCCAAGTGGGCGGACACTTCCACAGCACGGGTGCATGTGCACATGGTTCATGAACAGACATTTGCCAGACCTTTGCTCTGGCAAGGAATTCCCTGGTTCTGGGCAGATAAAGAGAAATGCAAGTGCTGCAGAAAAGAAACCAATCACAGGAAAAAACGACACCAGGAAGGCTTAGGAGGCAGTTCAGTACTCC